TGTTATATTAAAATTATGTTATTTAAATTTAAATGTTTGTGTTTTCTCATACCATTACACACTTAAATGTCAGAAACAGCACAAAACACACTTAAAAATAATTCGTATTTAAGGGAAGAAACAGTATTTTCTGTTTTGGATGCAGTATATACAAATTCAAAAATTTYTGAGGTATTCACAAATGTTCCTGTAACAGAAAACTGCAGCTTTATCCCCCTAATTTGGTATGTCACATCTTATATTAATTCAAACAATCATTTCCATGTTTATACATATTTTTCTTTCTGTTTCACTTTCATTTGACCAATTTTGTTCTGCTCTATTTAAAAAAAAATGTAATTTTGTATTTAAAAAAAGTGACTACACAGTGAGCTGTAGTTAYAAATGATACATTTTTTCTTGAAAATTGAAGATTTAATTTAATTTTGGGTTTCTAGGCTGAAATTCAAAAATTTCAGGATGCCTAAGAAGTTTTTYGGCCGTGTAAATAAAATTGAACCAGAACTCACCTTATATCTACAATCYTCCCCTGCAGAAAGAATCAGATCATTCACAGAATTCCAGTCGGTTTTTAAAATCAGCCCATCGTGGGCTTTCCACTGAAATGGAAAAAAAAATCAATTAAACACATACAACAATGTTAAAAAATTTGATTTTTAATATTTATCATTCATTAGGCTTGATGATCTTGGAAGGTTTTTTAATGATTTTATGATTCAGTGGAAAAATAAATGAAATTAAGCCTGGATAAGGGAGATTAAAACCAGAAAAATCTGCACTAAAATCAAACTTTCAACAACTGCTTCTTAACAAATGAAAGGGAAAGGCTTCTTTAGCTTTACTTATGTAAATAAATCCCATTAATTAATCAGATTATTAATGGTACCTGTAACACTTTTGCATTTGGCTGGAGGGGTTTGATGATCAGCTGCTTCCCTGAGGTGTAGAGAACTTTGTCTGAGTCAGGTGCCCAGGACACGGAGTACACAGGAGTTCCTGGGGAAAACAGGGAAAATATGGAAAATGGGGAAAATGGGAAAATGGGGAAAATGGGGTAACAGGGAAAACAGGGAAAATATGGAAAATGGGGAAAATCGGGGGAAACAGGGAAAATGGGGGAAACGGGGAAAATGGGGAAACCAGAAAACTTGGAAAATATGGAAACCCAAAACTATGGAAAACAAGGAAAATGGAAAATACAGAAAACAGGGAAAACAGAATACTTGGAATACAGGGGAAAGAGGGAAAATGTGGAACATATGGAAAACAGGGAAAACTTGGAAATCAGGGAAAATATAAAAAATAGGAAAAATATGGAAAACAGGGAAAATACGGAAAACTTGGAAAACAGGGAAAATATTCCAGGGAACTTGGCTGACCAAACCCTGCATGAGTTCACTTCTACAGCAAGACCTGTTCTTTTAATACTGTATTTTTAACATATATAATAATATATTATTTATATTATATCGTATTATATTACATTATAACTGTGCTTTATATATATATAATATAATCTTGATAAGGTAAAATAGTGTGTAACAGATTAAATATATAATCATATAGCTATATATACCAATATCTAATATATATTATATATTAGATAGCACACATTATATCCTATATATATTATATATACTTACATATTTAATGCACTTCTATATTTCATATAACTATATTAGATATAGAAATATATAATAACACATTAAGTATATAACAATTATTGCATAAATTATACGTCTTATATAAAAATCTATGTAGCTAATACTATATTCTATAAATGCACATTACACATTTCTCAACTCTGATTATTTTTTGCCATTTTCCACATTATCAATTTCTAAAACTTTTAAGAGAACAGTTTCAAACCGGCCCAGAAAACCAACAGGAAATAGCTGCATTTTGTATTTTTATCCAGTTTTTCTCCACTGATGCAATTTTAATCACAACTGTCACTCCAAACATACAGAAAATCAAAATAATACTCACCAAGAGATATCAGAAAATATTTATTTTTGCCCAAGTTATAGCATAAACATGGGTAAAAATTGTTTCTTACTGCACCTAAATTATTCTTTTTAAGATTTTCCAGGCCCCAAAATTACCACAGTTATTTGTTTAGCTGCACATGCAAAACCCCAAAACATCCCATAGACAAATAACTTCCAAAATAAATGACACTAAATAAAACTGGCCCACAGACTTCAAAAGATTTTTCCCAATTAACTGAAACTTTTTTACACTGAAACCCTCAGAATTTGGTACCTGGAATAAAGCTGAGTGTTCCATTTTAAAATCATGTTCCAGGTTTCAAATTGGATTTTTTGAAAACAGAATAAAGCAAAAAATTACATGGAAAAACATGCAGGGGAAAAAAAATTACAAGACTTGCCAACTATGCAACTATTTTCCGTATTATTGGACAGGATTTGTCTCCTCTGAAGAAAAATCAAAGGATTTTGCTACTTGATTCCTTGAAATAAAACTAAAAAATTCAGTAAAGAGCATCTCCAAGTATTAAACTGARCAAATAAATCAAAATCGTTCAAATAAACAATCCTTAATATAATTTTAYGGTAATAAAATAAAAAACCAAAAGGTTTAAAAATGTTCTTATAGGGTAAAATTCTCAATGAGAATTTTGGCATATGAAATTCCATTACTGAAAGTGACTCAGGAATATTTTTGTATGGAAATATTTTGATGAGATTTAAGATAATCGACTGAACTGCTGTAACAGATGTCCTAAAATCATCCGAAAATCAAAATATCTCCCCACTCCTCTCCGTGCAAAAAGCTGATTTTATTGTAAAATAAAAGGAAGAAAGGCAGAAAAATGAGATTTGAGGAAGAAATATTCTGGGAGAAAAGTGGGATTTGAGCAAAGTTAAACTCGATTTGAGCTCCCAAATTTCACCCTCGAAATTGAGACCTGGTGTTGTTTGCTCCTGAATATTTCTCTACTTCCTATGTTTTCTTTCAGGGAATTTTATTACTTAAAAAATACAGAATTATGGAAGGTTTTTCTTAACTTGTCAAGCATCAGAGGAGACAAATCACAGAAACACAACATATATTAAATAAATGTGGCACTGGCTGTTCTCCTCCTGGCAATTCCTGTTGAAAATGCCATAAATTCTGTCACCAGCTGCAGCAGAAATTCGAAATAAACTCCACTTTTTGTTGTCCTGATGCTGATTTAACAATCAGAACTTTTTCTATTTAAACCAAATGTTTGCCTTTTTTTTCTGAAGGCTGAGTACTCAACCACAATTTCCAGGGTTTAACAGCAGGAGCTGAGTTAACTCATTTCCTTCTGCACTTAACAAGGATGGCTTGGGAAAACACTGCCAA